CAAATTCTTACAGTTACTGATTTGTGTTTGCAGATAATGATAATTGACTTTAAGCTAACATATCCAAGTGGCACTGCAACTGCTCATCTTATCAATAGCTTTCATACTCCTCAAGGAGCAAAGCTAGCCAAGTAAGAGGCTTTTAACTTTTGTAGCTTCACCTACAATTTTGCTTACTATATATATTGCTTATTGACTTGTGTGATCTCTGTATCAGGAAACAAGTGCGAGTGTTGGGAAAATTCTTCTCCTTTAGCTTCTTTTGGGGTTTCTTCCAATGGTTTTTTACTGCAGGTGAAAACTGTGGGTTTAACAGCTTCCCTACCTTTGGACTCAGAGCTTACCAATACAAGTAAGCATCACTACCTGATGCACACTGGCTTTAGCTCATACTCTGGTTTGATAATCATGGTTTCGGTTCTTGTTTTGATTGGATCTTCGACAGGTTCTACTTTGATTTTTCTGCAACATATGTGGGTGTTGGTATGATATGTCCATACATAATCAACATATCTCTTCTTTTGGGTGGAATTCTTTCTTGGGGACTAATGTGGCCTCTTATTGAAACAAGAAAGGGAGATTGGTTCCCTTCTAATGTTGACTCTAGCAGCATGCATGGTCTCCAAGCTTACAAGGTAAAGTCCTCCTCCGTCACTCGCTCTCTTATACGCCGCTTTTGCTGAAACAATTTATTTCTTCTCTTATTCAGGTGTTCATAGCTGTTGCTATGATCCTAGGAGATGGTGTATATAACTTTTGCAAGGTGTTGAGCCGAACTCTTTCAGGACTAGTATCGCAGCTTCGAGGTAAATCTGGTTCAAGAGCCTCTCTTTCACCCGAAGAAGACCCTCCTGCTTCCCCATTGACCCCAAAAATATCATATGACGACCAACGTAGAACAAGATTCTTCCTTAAGGACCAAATACCTTCCTGGTTTGCCGCTGGAGGCTATGTGGCTATAGCTGCAGTCTCTACAGCAATACTCCCTCAGATGTTCGATCAGCTGAGATGGTACTACATTTTGGTCATCTATGTCTTTGCTCCTGTCTTAGCTTTCTGCAATGCCTATGGAGCCGGGCTCACGGATTGGTCACTAGCATCAACCTATGGAAAGCTCGCCATATTTACAATCGGAGCATGGGCTGGTTCAGAGCATGGAGGTCTTTTAGCAGGCTTAGCGGCTTGTGGAGTCATGATGAACATAGTCTCAACAGCTTCAGACCTGACGCAGGATTTCAAGACTGGTTACCTAACATTGTCATCTCCAAGGGCCATGTTTATAAGCCAAGTGATTGGAACAGCAATGGGGTGTGTGGTTTCGCCCTGCGTGTTTTGGCTTTTCTACAAGGCGTTTGATGATCTCGGCCTCCCAAACAGCGAATACCCTGCACCATTTGCTACTGTGTACAGAAGTATGGCGAAACTCGGGGTTGAAGGTGTTTCCTCTCTACCAAGAGACTGTCTTGTGCTGTGCTACGCATTTTTTGGTGTAGCCATATTTATAAACTTAGTAAGAGACGGTCTTGGTAACAGGTGGGGAAGGTTTGTTCCACTTCCCATGGCAATGGCTATACCATTTTTCTTAGGGCCTTACTTTGCGATTGACATGTGCGTGGGGAGTTTGATTTTGTTTGTCTGGGAGAGGTTAGATGCAGCAAAGGCTGAAGCTTTTGCAACAGCGGTGGCTTCTGGTTTGATTTGTGGAGATGGGATCTGGACTTTACCTAGCTCAGTGCTTGCTATAGCTGGAGTTAAACCTCCTATTTGTATGAAGTTTCTCTCATCTGCAACTAATCATAGAGTCGATAAGTTCCTGCAAGGTACCTCATAGATTTTTTAAAGCTCAATGAGATGGATTTGTTGGGAAGAAAAGTGTAATAGTGTTTCAGTTTTGAAAACAATAATAAAAGGTATATTGTCTTGGTCAGTGGTGTAGATAGATGAGAGACAGTTTGTTGTATTAAAAATCTGCAAACATGCTTTATATATAGCTAGGCAAACACATACTATCGATAAGTATGATGTTTCCATTATCCAATTCCTGCTTTTTCGCAAACAAAATCATCAGGTTTGTAGCAATTTCTCATCCCTCAAACATAACTAAACGAACTAGAAACTGTTCATTCTCACCGGCAAAAGAAATTACAGACCTCTATTTTCTTCTGGGGAAAAGTTCTTTACGCCTTTGAGGATGAGTTCTCCTTGGAAGTTCCAGCTGTTTTCTCCTCTGCTTTCTTGAATAGGTTAGACACCGTAGCTTGAACGAGCTTACCGTCTTTGCTTTTTGATTTTTCCTTTTTAGCCGGAAGTTTGATAGGCAACTTGCTTGCTGATGCACTAGTACTACCAGCTTGAGATTCTTCAGGACCTCTTGTTGAAGATTCAGGTTTTAACAAAGGTTTCTTATCTTCTTCATCAGATGCATCGCCATCACTTTCACCTGAGGAGGCTTCTGGAGAGGCTTCTGCAAAGCTGCAGGAATAGTTTAAAGAAAAACTGTTATACCTGACACTACTTAGATAGCTCATAAGGAGAATTAACCAGACAGAAGTCCCATAGAGAAACTAAGCCGCATTATAGAGATAGTTAGCAATCAAATGAACAGGAAGTGATTCCCTGGAAGGAATCTAATAACGCATCAAAGTCCATCGCAGAGACTTTTTATGACAAAAGTATCGTTACTAGCTCAAAAGTATCGTTACTAGTCGAATGGATCATTACTTGAATTTCTTGCCGGAATTTCTCTGAGACTGTCGAACTGGTGTTACTTGGATCTTATTGTCCAGAAACTCTCCATCCTCAGATAAATTATCCTCCATGTCAACATCAGGTGAGTCTGTTTCTGTTTTTTGGCTATGAACTTCAGGAGTTGCCAGCTTCTTGACCGAAATTGCTCCTCCTGCACCGCCTCGGAAATCAAACTCTGTTTGCTCTCCCTGAAACCAAGACTTTCTCTATTCATACGAGAACATCTCTATGGGCAACTAACAAAACTTGAGAAAAAAGTAAATGAATCAAATGTATCATCAACCTGAGCTAATTCTTTAGGGAAATCAAGACGAGCTTCTTCAGGATTTTCCTCTTTAGTCCCAATCCACCATGATTCAGAGAACACAATCTGTGTATGCATTACAAAATCCTCAAGAGTC